CGGGGTTAGAGTGGGAGGGACTGGGTTATACTGGGAGAGGGAAAATAAAAAAAAAATGGGGAAAATCGGCCAAAAAATGAGAAAATTATGATAAAAAGGGGGAAAAAAATGGGAAAATTACAATAAAAAAATGGGGAAAAATGGGGAAAAGGGGGCGGGGTTAGAGTGGGAGGGACTGGGTTATACTGGGAGGGACCGGGAAAGGAAAAATAAAAAAAAAATGGGGAAAATCGGTGGAAAAATGGGGAAATTATGAGAAAAATGGGGAAAAATGGGGAAAAAAAAGGGAAAATTATGATGAAAAATGGGGAAAAATTGGGGAAAAAATAAAGGAAGACGGACTGGGTTATACTGGATTATACTGGGAGAAACTGGGAGAGGGAATGTATAAAAAAAATGGGGAAAATCCATGGAAAACGGGGAAAATACACCAAAAAAAGGAAAAATAAATCAAAAAAATACACAAAATTATGATAAAAAATGGGGAAAAATGGGTAAAATGGGATTTGGGTTACTGGTTTGGACTGGGTTATACTGGGAGGGACTGGGAGGAATTGGGAAAGGATTTGGGGTGAAAAAATGGAAAAAAAATGGTGAAAAATGGTGGAAAATGGGGAAATTATGATAAAAAAGGGAAAAAGTGGGGGAAAAATGGGAAAAAAATGCCAAAAAAATGGAAAAAAAAGGCAAAAAGAATGGAGAAAAAAACTGGAAAAAAATCAGGCAAAAATAGGAGAAAAAATGGGGAAAAATGGTGAACAAAAGGGAAAAAAAGAGAAAAAAATAAGAAAAAATGGGAAAAAAATGGGAAAAAATGTAAAAAAAAGGGAAAAAATTGGGAAAAATTGGAAAAAATAGGAAAAAGAAGAAAAAAAAGGGAAAAAACCCCCCAAAAAATGGGGGAAAAAAGGCAAAAAAAAGGCAAAAAAAAAGGGAAAAAAACACCAAAAAAAGGGGGAAAAATGCAAAAAAAAAAGGTTTTTTACTGATTTTCCCATTTTGTCCCATTTTTTACTGGTTTTTACTGGTTTTTACTGGTTTTTCCTCACCTTGAGCACTCTCCTCTGCGCCTCGCGGTCGTAGACGTAAACGCAGCCGTCGTTGGCTCCGCCCACAATTTCCCGCCCCTCGGGGCCGACAGCCAATGAGAACACGGCAAAGCGGCGCTCGTCCGGCCTGGGGGCGGGGCCAGCGGGGACACGCCCAGTTTGGGGGGAAAATGGGGGAAAATGGGCAAATAATTAAATATAATTGAAATATAATTAAATTACAATTAAAATGTGATTGAAATATAATTAATAATAGTTGAGAAATTGCTAAAAAATTATTCTAAAATTATTAAAAAATTATTTTTAGAATGATTTAAAAGTTTATTTAAAAATTCCTAAAATTATTTTAAAATTACGAAAAAATAAAAACTCAAAGAATGAGAAAAAGCCACGCCCAAATCCCAAACCACGCCCCTAAAATGCAAATTAACCCAGAAATTCCAAGCCACGCCCATTAAAATGAAACCACGCCCCCAAATAAGGAAACCACGCCCCCCAAAATGCAAATTAATCCATTAATAACCCAACCCACACCCCTAAAATGCAAATCGCCCCCCCAAATTTTGAAGCCCCGCCCATTAAAATGAAGCCCCGCCCCAAAGTCGAGGCCACGCCCCCAAAATAACCCAAACCACGCCCACAAAAAGGAAATGAATCCATTAATAGCCCAAACCACGCCCCGAATATGCAAATTACCCCCCCAAATTTTGAAGCCACGCCCCCCAAAATGAAGCCCCGCCCCCACCGGAAGTCCAGCGCTGTGTGGGCGTCGCCGTCCCCGAACAAATCAAAGACGTGAACTGCGGAAAAGGGGCGGGGCCACAACAGGAGCCATTTTTAACCTTTTTTGGTCATTTTTTCACCCTTTTTTTCCCATTTTCCCCCATTTTCCCTCTCCCAGTCCCTCCCAGTATAAACCAGTAACCTCAAACCCCATTTTTTCCTATTTTTAACTCTTTGCTCCCCAACTTTTCCATTTTTTTCCCCATTTCCCCCCGTTTTTAGTCATTTTTTGACCGATTTTCGCCATTTTTTCACGGATTCTCCCCATTTTTTTGATTTTTCCCCATTTTTCTCCCTCCCAGTCCCTCCCAGTATAAACCAGTCCATCCCAGTCACCCTGAGCCCCATTTCTCCCCTATTTTCTCCCATTTTTAACCCTTTAATCCCCATTCTTTCCCATATTTTCCCCATTTTTCCACCGATTTCCGTCATTTTTTCTCCAATTTTCCCCATTTTTTTTTATTTTTTCCCTTTTTTTCCCATTTTCCCACCTCCCACTCCCTCCCAGTATAAACCAGTCCCTCCCAGTTACCCCTACCCAATTTTTCCATATTTCTAACACTTTAATTCCCATATTTTCCCCATTTTTCCACCGATTTTCGTCATTTTTTCACCGATTTTCCCCATTTTTTTTAATTTTTCCCCAAATCTCCCCCTCCCAGTATAAACCAGTCATTCCCAGTATAAACCAGTATAACCCAGTCACCCCATTTCCCATTTTTTGCTCCCATTTTTAACCCTTTCTTTGCCATTTTCCCTCATAATTTCCCCATTTTTCCACCGATTTTCATCATTTTTTCACTGTTTTTTCCCATTTTTTCTCCATTTTCCCCGTCCCAGTATAAACCAGTATAATCCAGTCCATCCCAAACTCATTTTTAACCCTTTCTTCCCCATTTTTACCCACTTTCCCCCCATTTTCCCCCTATTTTCCCCATTTTCCACCGATTTTCGTCATTTTTTCACCTTTTTTTCCCGTTTTTTCGTGTTTTCACCCCAAACCAGTCCCTCCCAGTATAAACCAGTATAAACCAGTGCTGACCGTAGCTGGACCAGCTGCAGTAGAGCCCCTGGGTCCCGTCCGGGGTCAGCGCCACGTCCAGGACGCTCCAGCCCACGTTGCGCCCCCTGGTGGCGCGGAGGAGCCGCAGCCCCGCCCCCGACACCTCCCACAGGCGGAGCGTGTGGTCTGGGGGCGGAGTCAAAAAATTTGGGTGAAATTTTGGGGATTTTGGGAAAAAATCCGGTGAAAATCGGATGAAATTTGGGTGATTTTTGGTGAAATTTTGGTGAAAATCGGATGAAATTTGAGCGAAATTTGACTGAAATTCACAAAATTTTCAATAGATTTGGATGATTTGGGGGAAATTCTAGAGATTTTTGAAATATTTTGGAAAATTTTCAGGAATTTTGGGTAAAAATTTGGTGAAAACTAGACTAAATTTGGGCAAAAATTGAGCGAAATTTGAGCAAAAAAATTATCAGAATTTGAAGTAAAATTTACACTGAAATTGGGGGAATTTTATGTGAAAAAGTTGGAATTTTTGGGAATTTCAGAAGAAATTTTGGGAATTTGGGAAAAATTCGGAGGATTTTGGTTAAAAATTCAGTGAAATTTAAGCAAAATTGCGGTGAAAAAAACGGGAAAATTTTGAGGGATCAAAATGAATTATAAAAATAAAAAAACACTTTAAAAATCAGAAAAAATCCCAAAAAAATGCCCAAAATCCCCGAAATTGGCAGCCATGCCCAAAAACCCTTAAACCCCGCCCATTCCCAAATTAAACCACACCCCCAAACCCCAAACATTTTTTAAAAATTGGAAAAAAATCCCCCAAAAAATCAGAAAAACCCCCCAAAAGATCCCAAATTCCCCCAAATTCCATCCAAATTCTCCCCAAATTTTCCTCAAATTCCCTCAAATTCCCCCAGATTCCCTAAAATTCCCCCAAATTCCCGATCCCCTCCG